CTCTATGCTGCAGGTGGGTAAAGCGTTCCGGGCCTTGTGTGTCAACGGCATTCGCGCAGCGCCCGTCTGGGACTCTCTCACCCAGACCTTCACCTGCGTCCTAACTATCAACGATTTCCTGCAAATGCTGAGCCTTTGTTGGAAGTCAGCCAACGACCCTGGCACACCCACCTTGAAGGTGGGCGACTGCGAGTCCATGCCCATACGTCGGTGGAAGGGTAAGTCTGTCGGACGCCTATCTTACCAACAATGTGCTTCTCGGCGTGTTCTTGATATAAAATGTTGGTTATCATTCCTCTACCTCCCTTACAAGCTAACTCAACACAGTCATGTGCCAGATTTAGTCCATGGTTTGGGTATAGGGCTCTGATGGTCAGAGGTATCCGAAGTTGTATGAAGAGCCAGTTTATCAGTACATGACTTTGACGTTGTTTACGGGCGGGGTGAGCGTACTGAGAACGGGTTCTGTGAGAGTGGCAGGACTAGGTCAAACCAGTGGACTGCCGGAGGAGGTTGTAATGGCGAACACGACAGGTGCATTCAAACGCATCCTGGATGTATATTTACTTAGTGGATACTGTTCATACGCACAGGAAAGCACTGTTAGTAGACACGAACGCTTTGGTCACACATACAGATAACAAAATTGTACATGTGTATATGTTACTCACTATTTTATAATAACATATGTTATCTTGGATATTTTATGTATACTGTTTTCAATAGGGTCTTCAAAGGCATTGCCTACTAACCTCAATATACTGAACTAATCTGGTATAACCCCCCACCCTCTGTCTACACGGGTCGCGATGCGACTGATCTCTCTTTCACACCAGATAGAAGACTGCCTTTGGGTTAATGTCTTCAGCCTATCAAAACGGTCGGCACGGTTTGACCTCGCCCTCGTCGCAGCTTCTTTGAATGATAGGCGAGAGATTGGTACCGAATGAAGTAAGAGCTAAATGACCACCTCATATAGCTGAGCATTTAGTGAGTCTGTCAGTTTATAAAGAAGAGCACTCCTATCTGGGGACCCTATACGATAATGGACCACTGGAGACTTGGATTTTTAGATGGTCGTGACAAGTCAAGACGATCAGAAACGGGTATAGAAGTGGTGGCTGAACTGGTAATAAGTCGCTACTTATGCACACCAGGAGACTATGAAATTCAGAGGTGAGTGTTATTCTGTGGCGCTTATCGGATCAAAGATTGGCCGTTATCATTGTCACTTTATAGCTGCACACACAACAGCAATAATAAACGGAGTTAAGTTGTTAACCGCAGCCAAGGCTGACAGACAATTCTAACGTGGTTTGTGGGAAACTTGCATGGGGAATACGAGGTGTTGGCACTTTAAAAAAAACGTTTTCATTTGTGAATGCCATTTGCAAACCTTTGGTGTGCTTCTCAGGCCCTATAGAAAACCTTGCTTTGTAGTAGTGCTACAGCCATTCAGGATGTTTGCTTTATCAGTATCTCTGAAATATTCTTCCCACCTACCGTTTTATTGTTCGACTAAGTTTTCCATGTGCTCCACCTCTGGTTTAAGTCAAATAAGACCAACAATGCGAGTAAAGGAGCAGAAGATGCGATCACTGGAACAAGAATTTTATTTTCCTGACGTTTCAGATTCTGTCGAGAAT